GTCATTGTCCCGTCGCTGGCGGCGGCCATCGGGTGGTTGTTTCCGGTTGAGTATTGAGGGAAAGTGAAGAACTTAGAGAATGGATGTTGAGAAGCATTATTTGGTGATAATTGATTTCTAACTTGTTGTTTGTGAGCTTCCAAAAATTGAAGAAGTTGTTCAAGTTCTTTTACAAAATTAATTGCGCCTCCAACAATTGATGCTTGGTCTCCCTGTTCACATTAATAAATAAAAAAAGGTTAAATTATTGTACCAATGATTTATAATAATGTTTTACTACTTAATTGACTTTAACTATCAAGCTGGATATGATGCTTCTTAGTCTTTAATTTAGGGCAATTTAAACGTTGCTTTTTAATTAAATTAAAGACGATCCTACCCGTTACCAACCCAAAATAATACAACTAAGCTAAATTTTGTACATAAAAAATACATGCATGAATAGTAGAGTAGAAATATTTACTTACAAATTCCTTATAGCAAGCTGCGAGACTAATATGGTAACCTAAAAATATATTAAAACTACTATAATTAGAATTGTAAGAAATCTTTTTACATTTTTTATGCATATAACCTAAATCTATAAAAATAAGGATGTAATGTTTAAAAAAAAATTACATTATCAATGTATAAATATAAAAAATAAAAAAATAAAAAAAGAAAGGGCAACCCAGTGTATAAAGTATCCCGCATTTACGCAGGGTTCAAGGAAGGGCATCACCTCAAGGGGTATTATGTAGCCAAGCTACTCTAATACAAGCATAGTAATTGCTTCGACAGCTCGAACATGTGATTTATACGTCATACAGAGACAATTTTATCAATTCTCAAAGACTCGCTTCTCGTTGTCAATATAATTTAGTTAAAATATTGTAGCGAATAATCTACCTTATTTTCTTGATTTTTGTCTATCTATATAAATTAAACTCATAATACCAACAATTATAATGACGCTAAATTTTGTTTAAAAAATGCCAACATGTTTATTAATGCATGTCTTTACGTGCGTGTGTTTGTGGTTTTGTGTAGGTGAGAGAGAAAAAGTACCCTTTGAGCATAGGAAGGAGGCATCAATGATCGGAGAACGGCGAGGTAATCGTTCATTTGCCGGCGGCGATTTCTTTCGACAGCAATGTGAGTCATCCTTTGGTTCTCTATTTCCTCCTTGTTCTTAGAACATTTAGTGCGCCGTCTTTTTCTCCGGCAAGAAACAACCGGAGTCTCCACCGGAGTATATTCCGCCGGCAAGAATCCGGTGCAAACTTCGGGGGATGAAGAGTTGTTATTATAGCTTTGTGCTATTGAAGAATGAGAAGAATCCCAATTATAATCATGAAAAAAACCACCAAGATTGTAAAAATCTTCGTGGCTATAAATGAAAGGATCTTGTTGGAAAACAACAGTTTCAAGAGCCATTTTTCCTTTCAAAAATACTCTACTATTGATTTTCTCTATCAAAGATAGGCTAAATTGGTAAAGGGGTTGATGGGGTTTGCTTTTCTTATAAAGGCTTGAAAATGAGAAGGAAATGAAGTAACAAAAACCAAGTGGCCGTACGAATCAAATTGTATAAATTTCTTAAGCTACAGAAACTATTACACGTGAGAGGCTAATGTTTTTTGGTTTGTGAGAGAGAGAAACACAGAGAAACATTCTCTATTGTTAGTTCATTAATTAAATAGCCTCTTGTTCATTGTCGAGGTGGGCCGAGGCGGAGCGGGGATTTGAAGTTTATGGGTTTGAAAATTCTAATCATTTTAAGTTACTGGGTTCTAAATAAATAATTTGTACACATTTAATGGATTTTTAAAGATAAATATAGGATTCTAACCAAAGCTACTGGGTTCTATTGAACTCGTAGGGAATATGATGGTTCCGCCCTTGGAGGTGGGTGGGGGTGAGGAGAGGGG